GTAGTCGCTGAAATGATCGTGTCAAGCGAGCAAAGCGAAAGCTCAGATCCCAAGAGTACCAAGGAGGTTCAAAACTGGAACAAACCCTTATCTCTTGCCCTGCCCGCCCTCACTGGAAGTTCAGGTTGCCAAGGCCCCTGTTTAGGGTTTTCTCTGTCAAAGCACAAAGAAGCTGGAGCGGAAAGAAATACTCTTGGACAGTACCAGGTTGACTTCCCGTGGCTGTGGAGGAGATGAAGTGAGGTGAAGTTATGTCAAATCAAGGTAAAGAGCCTGTTCGCGTACTCCAGTGAGGAAGTGCTGCTCATTCAAGCACAAGAAGGAGGCAAACAGGTAGTTGTGCTTCAGATCTGATCTCAACTTGCGATGACGTGGCGAGATTCAATGCTTACTGCCCACTCTTCTTCCTTCCTGTCCTCCTTACACCTTTTTATTTCTTCCTTCCTCTGATCTTTTGCCCCGTTCTTTCTGCGTGCCTCTCCTTCCTTTCCGAAACCACCTTGACGTAATCCTCAGGTCGCCATGTCGCCTCTTCACTCCTCTCCTCTCCTCACCTCTCCTCACCTCACCTCTCCTCTCCTCTACCTCTCCTCTCCTCTCCTCTCCTCTCCTCTCCTCTCCTCTCCTCTCCTCTCCTCTCCTCTCCTCTCCTCTCCTCTCCTCTCCTCTCCTCTCCTCTCCTCTCCTCTCCTCTCCTCTCCTCTCCTCTCCTCTCATCTGACATTATTCTTTTCCTTCTGATTGTACTGCGTCAGATTCTTGAAACTGTTAAAGAGACCCTGGGAGAAGAAGACGAAACGAAACTCAAAGGTGAGCTAGAAACTTACAAGATCAGTTCTGACATGTAAGCAGATGTGAAACAACATGCGCTCAAGGTCTCCATCCTCATCTCCTCTTCTTCTTGCTGCTGCTGCTGCTGCTGCTACTGCTGCTGCTGCTGCTGCTGCTGCTCCTCCTCCTCCTCCTCCTCCTCCTCCTCCTCCTCCTCTTTCTACTTGTCTATCCACTTGTCTTTCTCCTTGTCTTTCTCCTTCAACTTCTCCTCCCCTTTCATCTCCTTCTCCATCACCTTTTTCTGCTTTTTCTTTACCTTTTATTCCTCAGCATTTGTCAGTCTAAAATTTTTCCCGCAGCTGCTCGTGAACGAACAAGTTTCTAGCATGAAACTACCTTTAGCTCATCTCGAAGAAACTTCTCTGCTTCTTGATGACACGTATCAACTCTTGTCCTGTCCTGTCCTGCCCTGCCCTGCCCTGCCCTGCCCTGCCCTGCCCTGCCCTGCCCTGCCCTGCCCTGCCCTGCCCTGCCTTGTCCTGCCCTGTCTTGTCTTCTCCTCTTGTGCTGTGCTATGCTGTGCTTTTCTTACTTCACTTCAGCAGGCAGAGCGGCCACGAGTTTCGCGTTCCTCCTTCCTCCTCTCCTCTCCTCCCCGACCTCCGTATCTTCCTCAACCTCCTCGCCGTTGACTCTCAGGAAGCAAAAGTAGGAGCCCTGCAGCTTGCAAGGCTGCTACAGGTTGCTGCCTCATTATCCTCCTCGTCATCTTCATCATCGTCCTTGCCCTCCTCCCTCTTGTCTCTCTCCTCCTCTTCCTGCCTTCTCCTGCTCCTGCTCCTGCTCCTGCTCCTGCTCCTGCTCCTGCTCCTGCTCCTGCTCCTGCTCCTGCTCCTGCTGCTCCTCCTGCTCCTGCTGCTCCTGCTCCTGCTCCTGCTCCTGCTCCTGCTCCTGCTCCTGTCCCCCTCACAAGCTTTCAGGATGGAGATTTTCTTTCTCCGAGCCATCGAAGTCGCTCACTCAAAATCTTCCGTCGAGTCATCGAGAAAAAAGTGATGAGAGGAGGAGCAGGAGGAGGATCAGGAGCAGGAGCAGGAGCAGGAGCAGGAGAAGGAGCAGGAGCAGGAGCAGGATCAGGGAGCAGGGAGCAGGGAGCAGGGAGCAGGGAGCAGGGAGCAGGAGGACTTGGATGAGAAGGAGGGCAAGGACGAGGAGAAGAAAGATTACGTGGAGCAGGAAAAAGGAGAGGGAGAGGGAGAGGACGAGCAAGATTGCAAGGAGAAAGCGGGACAGGGACAGGGACAGGGACAGGGACAGGGACAGGGAGGGGAAAAGGAGGAGGAGATTTAACGAAATGCAGATGAGCGCAATGGCGACGACGATGGAAGAAGACGAGGAGATATTGAAACAAACAGGTAAAGAGATGAGATCGAGTCTGTGTGTTGGTTGTTGAGGAGGAACAATCGTAACAGAGACAAGTCAAGACAAGGAAAGGCTGCGACTTTGTGTGAGGTGAATAGAAGCGAAGAAACAATTTGTGACATGTGACTTGATGTTGAAGGTATCGCCTATCGCTCAAACAGATGCTTCAGAATTCTCTTTCATTTGTGCAAGACTGAAAGTTTTCTTTACTGCTTGCAATGAAGTTGCACACGTCATTCTTGCCAGATCAAGAATTTAAATGTCATGGATGTGATCTGCAAACTAGATAGATGATATCCACTCCTTAAATTTGGGTTGAATTCGGAATGATGTTCTACATTTTGACATGTCACATGTCAAACAAATGCGACATGTCACATGTTAAACAAATGCAATTTGATTACTATTCAGATGTGATTTGATTATTAGATGGATATGATTCGAAAATCAGATAGACAATATCTCAATATCCATGTGAGGATCAGGAAATTTTGATGTTTTTGATGTCGCTCATTTACAAGACGTTCGAGTTAGCAAAGATAGCAAAGAAGGAAACAATCATCCAAATCCACGAGGACGAGGAGGAGGGCTTTTCTTTTTGTCTTCCGGGAGCTGTAACAATGCAAGATGTCAACAACCATCAATGAAAAGGGAATTGAAATAAGTGATGTTATCAAGTCAGCACACAACAATGATAAACAATGAAACAATGACTTCAACAACAGACAACAGACAACAAAGTCATGATAAAATCAGAGGAGACAGAAGGAAAGACAACAAACATGATGAGAAACAAGAAAACAACATCAACAAACTCACTTGCTTCCCAAGAATTCTCTGTTTCACTCTGTCTTCAACCTCTTCAACCGACATGCTCTCCATGAGCTTCATTCGCTCCCGCATCAGAATCTTCACTTTATCCTGGTCGGATGACTGACATGCACTAGTCAGCGATGCCTCCTGCTGCTGCTGCTGCTCCTCCTCCTCCTCCTCCTGCTCCTCCTCCTTCCGATCCTGCTTGGCTTTCTCCCCCCCCCCCCCCCTCCCGGCACCTTCCTCCTGCTCCTGCTCCTGCTCCTGCTCCTCCCTCATCCTGCATCTCCTCCTTACCTTCAGCTTCTCTTGTGGAACCTTCTTGAATCTTCTGTAGTACGCCAACGGTGAAAACACGGACAGCAGGTACAAACAACAAAGAACGTGCAGTTGACATGAACAACACAGACAACAAAACGATGTTTCAGAACGAAAGATCGTCTTATCAGAACGATATTCAGTCGACAACAATTATTGACACTCGACAGCAGCTCTAACGATGATACTATAGCTACAACCAATCAAAAAGACATCAGCAATGCTCGTCTGTTGTGGAACCTCTTTGGATTTCCCTTGGAGTTTTCTCTCTCGATTTTCTCCCTTTTATGTTGCACTGCAATCTTCCCGGCTCTGGCAATACGAAAATTTCAGAAACAAGAAACAAAACAGACCAGACTGGAAGAAAATCGAACAGACAACGAAGAATATGACAAATAACATCACAAAGAAAATCGAACAGACAACGCAGAATATGAGAAATAACATCACAAGGGAAAACGAACAGAGAACGAATAACATGAAAAATGACATCACAAAGCATGTGACACAACACGAAATTATCTCACCTTGACCAAGCTTGTTGAGCCGTTTGCATATCAACTCTGAAATGAAACCAAATTTTCAGACCGCTGTTCCCATACTTTCATATATTCCTTCCCTCTCTCCCTCCCTCCCTCCCTCCGTCCGTCCTCCGTCCTCCTCCTCCTCCTCCTTGAGAATCAACCTGAAGAACTCATCTTCCACCTCGGGTCCATCAAAGTGATCGTTTCTGCGTTGCCGTGAGCACAGAGCGACACAAGCAAAGCAGGTGGCTGTACTTGTCTTTGTCATGCGTCTTGGGGTTTCTTGCAGCTATCATGTATGTCAGAGTGCGATAAAGCGAGAGAAAGAGCAGGAGAAGAAGGAGGGAGAGGGAGAGGGAGAGGGAGAGGGAGAGGGAGAGGGAGAGGGAGAGGGAGAGGGAGAGGGAGAGGGAGAGGGAGAGGGAGAGGGAGAGGGAGAGGGAGAGGGAGGAAGCTGCGAGGAGGTATGGCAATTTGCAGTTGTTCAAAGACAAGAGAGAGAGACGGGAATAGGAAGACAGAGTAATCAAGATCAGGATCAGGATCAAGATCAGGAGCAGGAGCAGGAGCAGGAGCAGGAGCAGGAGCAGGAGCAGGAGCAGGAGCAGGAATGAGTACCATAGACGCATGTGTTCATCATTTCTCTTGTCTGTCCTATCGATGCCTGGTAACAAACCGTCACATCGCTACGTGTCGACGGCTCCTCCTCTCACCAGGCTCGCTCGACCATTCTTGGTCGTCAGGTAGCATGAAGGAGGGAAGGAGAAGGAGAGGCAGAGATCGAGCAGGACAGAAAGGATGAATGTCGATCGAAGCGCCGCCATCATATCTGACTGGCAGAGTCACGGACAGCGGAAGTCAGCATGTAGAATAACTCTGACGTCTGGGATCTACATCGCTCCTTTGACTTCCTCCTCAACTCTCTCCGCTTCTTCCCATCATTAAAACAATGCTCCTTGACCGCACATGCTCTGCATGCTTCCAACCTACCGTCATCAACCTAGTGGCTCCAACGTGCGTTTGCTATCCTTTCAGCCATTCGTGTTTTCCTCCTTTCTCTTCCCTCATTCCTTATGTCCAGTTGGAAGTTGTGTTGGAGTTGATGGTGACTATGCTACTCCTGCTGCTGCTGCTGCTGCTGCTGCTGCTGCTGCTGCTGCTGCTGCTTCTCCTGCTGCTGCTCCTCCTCCTCCTGCTCCTCCTGCTGCTGCTGCTGCTTCTCCTCCTCCTGCTGCTGCTCCTCCTCCTCCTGCTCCTGCTGCTGGTGGTCCTGCTGCTGCTGGTCCTCCTCCTCCTCCTGCTCCTGCTGGTCCTCCTGCTGCTGGTGGTCCTGCTGCTGCCCCTGCTCCTGCTGCTGATGCCCCCGCTGCTGCTGCTGCTGCTGCTGCCCCTGCTGCTGCTGCTGCCCCTGCTGCTGCTGCTGCTTCAACGTCGCATCTCCCCCGATTGCACGTTTGGCCTCCCAAAAAACGTTTCCGCAGAAGCTGGCAGACCATATCTTCAAAGCACAGTACCCCACCCATAGATTTACAGGGGTTTACTAGTAAACTATAGGGGTACAAAAGCAGACAGGGTGGGAGGACAGGTGGCTTCTAGAAGAATGACCGGTGGTTTTAGGAAAATGCAGCGAGTACCCCAAACAGTGTTGATTTTGATACGGTGGGGTTGACCTATCACCGGTACTTTTCACTATTTTTGTAACCGGTGATGAATGTCGCTCTTTCTGTGGAAAGGTATTTGGAGGGTGGGGTGGGGTGGGGTGATTGGGTTGTAATCAGCCATGCAGGTACGCCACAGCATTGCAGAGGAGAACATGGAGGATGGAGGGGAAGTGAAGGGGGGAGAGGGAGGCTATGCCGGGAGATTAATCAGAGGATAGGAAAGAATGAAGCTGTGCAGAAGGATTCTGCCCAGTCTGTTGTAGGAGAGAGGAAATATGAGGCAAACATCAGACAAACATGCAAGGAGGATAGCGGAAGAAGAAGAGAGGAGAATGAGAGGAGCTGTTTTGAGGGGGTTAGAGTGAAGATGATGATGTTTGTGATTGGTGCTGAGGAGATGAGGATGTAGCAAGGGAAGCAAAAGAGGAAGCGAGGATTGTAGTCCCAGGTCACAGAGGACAGGTGTTCACGATCAAGTGACCAGGAAATTAGGGGCAGACAGCAAGGGAGAAGTCAGTAGATCTCAACTGATGATGTATGATGATTCACCATCCTCATCCTCTCTTGGTTCTTACCGCAGGCGGCGCTCGATCGCCTGCTGTCGCGGGTTGCGATGGCCTCTGTGGGCATCATGGCGGGGGCGTCGGGTGAGACTCCATGGTTGTAAGTAGACCGAGGCTGATCGACACGTCTGCAGCACTGAATTCTTGTATTTATGACATCGATGGCGGAAAGGTGATTTTCTCCTGCTGCCCAAACGACGATACTGATCACCCCTGTCAGCGTGCCGTCATGTTCAATAGGTTTCCGAACCCTTTCACGGGCGATGCGAGGTAGCGCAAAGAGGATGCTGTCATGGTGGATGATGATCTTGGCCTCCAGTGGCATTCAGAAGTATGTGATCAAGGAAGGAACTCACTTCAAGGTGCCGCCATGGCCTCTCGGCCGCACCGCACCATCTGAGAACTGTATAGATCCCTTTTATCCAAGACCCCAAGATATTTGACGTCAGGACTCGCCCGAGGGCCATTCCGACTGTTACTGGTCAGCTTTGACTCATTGAGTGAACCCTCTGACTCCTTGCGGCCCAGGCACCAAGGACTTGCAGATGGTGGGAGGCTGGTAGGACCAAGGTCTCAGCTGGAATTGACCTTGGCTCCGCCAGGTCAATATCACCCTGCGTCTTCTTTCAAGGCCGTATATCGATAGCCTTCCGCAAATCTACCAGCAGCTCGGTGACATGTTCTGAGCTGCTGCGACTCCCTTACCTCCTCCAAGGCCTCGACTACGACGAGCGAATCTTGCCCTCGATCGCCAATGAGGTTTCGCGTCTTCAGGACAGCCGCATGGCTTTTTGATTCGCCCGTAACAGGTTCTCAAGAGCGTTGTCGCCCAGTATGATGCCGAGGAGCTGCTGAAGAAGCGAGAGATGGTGTCTCGAGAGGTCAAGGAGCAGCTTACTCAGGTTGGATTGATGGCGTAGAGAATCCGATCCTGACTTTGACTTCCTGTGCCAGCGTGCTCATGACTTCCACATCGTCCTCGAGGACATCTCGATTACTCATCTTACATTTGGAAAGGTTGTATCGGCTGATCGCTCTGACTTGCTCGTACTGACAAAATCTCTCTCACGAAAGGAATTTGCCACAGCGATTGAAAGGAAGCAAGTCGCTCAGCAAGAGGCAATGCCTTCGAGCTGCTCGATCAGGAGATCCTGCTGACCTCACCTACAGGCTGAGAGGCAGAAGTTTGTTGTGGCGAAGGCGGAGCAGGAAAGGAAGGTAACAGCTCTTCCTACGTGCTCTTCTTTCATCATGATTTCTTTTTTCCCAGGCCAACGTCATCAGAGCTGAAGGAGAAGCTGAGGTCTTGTCTCCCGGGCCCTCTGACTCCTCCGCCTGATCTCTCCATCGAGTAGGCAGCCAAGATGATCTCGTCGGCCCTCAAACAAGGACCGGTACGCTCTCAGTGACTGGGGAGGAGACAGAGCTGACCGGCACCGTAGGCGCTTGTTGAGCTGCGAAGATTGGAAGCGGCAAGAGATATCACCACAACCCTTGCCAAGGTGCGGGCACCTCCGTGCCTTCTAACGACCCACCCCACATTCCCTCTCCCATTCAGCCTCCCATTCCACTCTCCTCAACTTGCCTCACCTCCCTCGTCGTGCTTGTCACTCTGTTTGACTGCTCGTGTTTTTTTCCCTTCTTGCAGTCCAAGAACGTCGTCTTCATCCCGTCTGGCTCTTCGCACGGAGGTGAGTTTCGGACATACGCGATTCCCTCGTCTACTCCTTGCCTCTTATAACCATGTGCTCCTTCGTGCTTGTCGCTCCTCGTCCTCGTCCGCCTCCGCCTTCCCCTCCTCTTCCAACGACTCTTGCTCCCATTGCTTCGACCCTCTCTGACGCTTTCATTTTTCTTTGCAACTATGGATGATCTGGGGACTGGGTGCTTTTTCAAACTTGTGTGGTCGTGGGAAATATGAGGGAGGGGAGGGGATGCAGGAACGGGAATGCTACTCAATCTCAAGGAGGCTTAACATGGCTGCTTTCTCCAGCTGCGTTAGAGCTGCTAGTCAAAAAGTTTTATCAGGGGAGAATGAACCATGCCTTCTGGGCGTCACTACTTTCTCGAATCTGTCCCGTTCACTTTCAGACCAAATGTTAATCTTCAGACATCTGCACATGCCTTTCAGCCTCAACTTGTGCTCTCGATAAAATCGTTCTCCTCTCCCTCGTAATCCTTCTCTCAGTCTCCTGCCTTCCCCTCCATGACAGCGACACATTCAAGAGTAAAAGTGTTGTTTTATTTACAACCAGCCCATGCTGATACAATACAGCGAAAGAATACTACTTCCACATCCATACGCACATTCCTCAAACCCTCCTCCTCTTCATCTTGTAGGGATCCCCTGGCCCCATAGTCAGCTCAGAGTCGTCATCCAGCCCATCCTTGTCCTCGGGGGGAGGGCTTTCGTACTGCTCGAGGTTCAGCAGCGTCTTCCCGACGCCGGGGACGCGAGCTGCCCGCTTCCTGTCCATCTCGGACCATCCAACAGGAGGCCATACCCACTCCATCTTGGTGGAGTGAAGGGGCTCGAAATGCGCTCCTGCATTGCCGTTGGACTGGAAGACAGCAGCGTTCTCTGTGCGGTGGATTGATCCCGTGGATGTGCTGGTGCAGGAGAGGGATGAAGAGCATGAGGAGAGTGAGTCTACCCAGCAAGACATGCTCCCATTGCCCCGCTCTGCTGCCATGTTGAACAGCGGATTAGCGACGTTGTCTTCCTTGTGCACAAAATTCCAGTGATGATGCCATCGATGCGGGTGTTGCATGCCTAGGGGAACCGCAGCAGGAGCAGGCGCCAGCATGTGCGCTGGTGCCAGCATGTGCGCTGGTGCCAGCATGTGCTCCATAGAGTGTTCTGTGAATGCAACACGTCTACTTCTTTCTTCCATGGTTGCTTGTTTGAAACCCTTGCTCCGTTCTTGCTCTCCCTCCTTGTCCTCTTGCTTTCGTTGTCCCTGTTCGGACCTCTTCCCTTTGCTCTGTATGATGTGTCTGCTGCGAGTATCTTTCAGCTCTTGTTCCTGTCGTGCTTGTCTGTCGTGCTCGTTGCGTTTGGGCGTCTTCCTACTTTGGGTCGTACTTTACCTCCATCTAGAAGAGGTCAATTCATCCCCCCTCCCACCCTACCCTACCCTCATAATTAGTACCCCTGTCTCATTACCCCACCCCATCACTTTGAGTCTTTAGCTCGTCGACCATTTTGCATCTGTGCCCACTACCCCAGTATAATAGACTAATTTGGATGATAATAGGGGGTATCAAAGTGAATTGCTTTACTCCAGTTCACTCATCAACTGATCCCCACCCCTTCTCTTTGAAGCTTTGTTCTGAAAATACCCCTAGTCGATCAACCCCCACCCACCTTTGATCATCCCGACCTGATCAGGTCACCATGGGATTGTCATGGTCGCCGAGGACAGGGATACCCGAGGGGTAGTGGGGTGATGAAAGGTGGCCACAGCCTTGAAAAGTGGGGTACTTTTGAGGTTAAAAAGAGGGGTATATTTGCTGAATTTTTTTGAGAGCAGGGTAGGGTAGCTGTGCCATGGCACTGCGGCGGTCTTGTCACTGAGAATCGCAGTGAAACTAGTAGTAAATATGTGGAAACGTTTTGAAAGGGAGATATTTCAAGATGATGACACAGAGATGATGACGGAAAGCAGCCGTGACCACGCCATGCCTTAGGGGTTTCAGGTCCGCCTCAGGAGACACAGAAAGAGAATGGAACTCAAAACATGCTTTTTGGATTTTTGGCTTCATTGCGCCCCTTCGACGATAACTCTTTGAGCTGTCCGTTACTTGACGGTTGCCGCCCGCGGCACTGGCGCTGCAAAGTTAAGTTAAAAATCCGATGATCAGTACGAGGGCGTCAATCTTGTGAGTAAAGGAGAGTAGAGGAGCGCCGGGCTTGACCTCTTTACTCCGAAAGTTAAGTTAAACCCTGACACTCAGTCGCACCGGTAGCACAGGCACTTTACTCAAAGTTAAGTACAGGCCATACGGCGAGAAGAGAAAAGACAGCGAGAACCAACCCTTGTCCTGCCTACTGCTGTCCCCCAAACTTCAACTGATGCCCGGCTTCACAGGCTTACTTGTTGGAACAGTGCGCGCAGGACCACTGTTCCCCCGCCGCACTGTGACTCCGCCCGGCCCGGCCGGTATAGTGGTGGCTGGCCGCCGCGCCCAGGCGGCCCGTGATTGACTGAGCCTGTCACCCGTGACCCGTGATAGAAACTTGGGTTCATGTTCGATGCGGTAGTACGGTCATGATGGGTTCCGACCAGCGATCGGATACCGGCGGCGATTGACACAGCCTGCGGCGGACTCGGGGCAGTTTGTCGGTTAGATATCCGTAGGGCTAAAGCCATCCATCTCTCGAAATCACTTCATTTCAGATATCGAGAACAATCTAGCAGGGACTGGGCCATGAGCCTCAGGGCCTGCAGTGCAGAGTCGGAGTGCGCCCCTCAATTATATTTACTACAGGACTTTCTGGCCGGGTCTGCCGGGCCGACCCCGGCGGCCGGGCGGTCACCGGGTAACCAGTCCCAAGTGCCAGTCGGACCGTACTAGGCCCATCGGCCAACTTGGCAACCGTTGAATCCGATCCGATCATCAGCCCGGCGCCGCGGGCGGCCGCCGGCCCGGGCCCTAATACACTCACCGTCCCACGGCGGCTCAGCGGCTCAGTGACTCAGTGACTCACTGCGGCGCCGCCCACTGCCGGGCACCGTATTGACAGCCTGACCTTCAGCAGAACTCCCGAGTGCCGGGCGGGCCCGGCCCTGGGCCGCGGAGTCCGATCCGACTGAGTCAGCCTCGCCGCGGGGCGGGGGCCGCCGCGAGCCTCGGAGTCCCGGAGTCAGGTGCCCGGCCCCGCGGCCCGGGCCGGTCACCTGGCCAGTCGGCCCGGCCGGGAACCGGGAGTCTTCGCACTAGTAACTAGTCACTAGAACCACAAAAAGATTAGTTACTTTTAAAAAAAGATGCTCCTGGTAGTTCCTTACCTGAAACTCACGTCATTCACTACGGGTAGTTATTTGACTCTGATGATCAAATAAGGGGGTAGGGGTACATTCTTCCGAAGAGAGGCATGCGGTAGTAGGAGAAACTAGGGGTACATTTATGGAAATCGAGGGGTGGTCTCGTGGACCTCATTTTGGTAAAGCGGCTGTGGGGGGCACTGATGGAATGAAGGGGTCAGAGACGGGTAGAGGGAAAATAGGGGGTACTGTAAGGGAAATGAAGGGGTGATAGATGCCTGTGGGGGTGGTTGAGATGCGGTGGTAACCTATAAACTTATTTATCAGTTTGAAGTGGGTAGGTAGGGGTAGTCATCGAAGTTTCAGTTTCACTCATCACGAGGGGTTTGGAAGGGTAAAACTTGGGGTAGAAAATTGCACGTAGTTCAGAGGGTTGGGTGGGGGTAGTACTGAAAGGTCGTTGATAGTCATGGGTCAGTTGTGAGTTGGAGTAAACAGAGAATGCTGGGGTGGGGGTAGGAGGTTTTAATGATTGACAGGGGAAATAGGGGGTACTTTAAAGGTAAAATTAGGGGTACGTCTCAAGAAAAGGGTGTACATGGGAAGGAGGGGTAGGGAGAAAGTTGATAGTCCGACAATACTGCCATCGACCAAGGACCACGATGACTCCGCTGATGTACAAGTTGGACTGATACACATTGCATTTCATCTTGGCATACAGCGAACAACACTTGTTTGCTCTTTCCTGCATCGAGGTTTCTTGACTTCATCCCTTCTCCTCTCCTGTTGCGGCACGTTTTCATGACGGATCACAACTCAATCCCATCCTCCGAGTCCCACCCTCTTCCAGCACGTCGCTTCCCCCTCCCTCCGCGAAAGCTGGCATCTACGCGACCCCTTGTCATCGATATGATTCGAGCTTGCATGTGCATGTTATTGGCGCCCTTCCAGTGTTTGTATGCCATCGTCTTCTCGCAGAGCCTCACGAACACAAAAACGCCACGTCGCCATGCCCGTACAGCAGCACAGCATGCTCATGCAGAAGTGCATCATGTGGCTCAGGACCAATACAGAGATGACGAGAAGGTGGTTATGCCCTTCAGGAGCACAAGCTGGGCGACGGTGTCGAAGTACTGCGAGGAGGTACGGAAGCAGCGGAAAGAAGCTCAAGCCTTGGCAGAGGAAAGTGCTTACCACATGCATGCTTGGAGAAGAGGCAGCATGGCTAGTGCTCACAGTCAGGAAAGTCGGATAGACGCGTGGAGGAGGAGGAGGAGCGAGACATCGTCCTCTGAGGCAAGTCACTCCTTGAAGACTTCGAGCGGTAGCAGGTTCTATGCGAAGCATCTCACGAGCGATAGCTTCGAGGACCTGCACTATCATGCGTGCTTAAGCAGGAGTTCGTCGAGCAGCGGTAACTCTGCGCTGAGCTAGGAGTGGAATATGATAGCACTACCGAATGAAGTACGAAGTTGGCACCCACCGTGCTACTTGCTTGTGTATAACAAACTTTGAAACGGTTGAACGGTTACCCACTCCCGGTGATGATTCCATGCTTCGTTCAACTTGAGGATTCTCATGACTCCGCAGTGCAATGGGCCGTCCGAAGTGACTCACAATGACTCATACGGCGAGAGTTTACTCACATGCCGTTCACTTTCAGGCCTTTCGTTAATTTGGCACTTAAATTTTTCGGTAGGGTCTTTTTTTTTTCTAGGCGTGCTATTTTGATAAACGAGTTAGAGACCCCACTTCATAGTACCCATTTGTTTTAGTTTATTTCAACAATCCTCTTTACAAGTTATTTTAACGGTAGTTACAGTACGGTACCGACACATACCCTATGGTACTACTTTCAGTACCAGTTGCAATCCTCCTTGCCTTGACGGACAATGGCGGCGCAATCGGGGCGGCCACCGTCGTCAAGGGCTGCCTCATCGCTCGGCATTGCCCGGAAAAGGAGGAGATGGAGCAAGAGAACAAGTTGATCCTCTTCATTCGCATGAGATACATCCAAGAGGCACCGTTGTTCCTTGCAGCAAATGCCTTCGATCATTCTGTGCACTTTGAATTACTACACCACGTTGAAGGTTTAGACACGTCATTCAATCTGGTACCATGTCATGGTGTGAGGTTTACTGATGTCAATGGGAAATTTCGAAGTGGAATCATCCGAAATTGGAAAGGAAGAATGTCAACTTCTTGAACACTAGAAAACAAACTGATTTCTTCCGTCTCAACATCGATCTGCACAAGATTAGGACTACGGTAGTATAGTTAACTGGTTTCGCAGACGTGGGAAGCCCTTCTTGAAACCCCGGATGAAAAGGCCAGTGCAGTTGGAACATCAGTACATCACTCTTACAGAATCCTGTCATTAACAGAGAATTTCCTGTGCCTTTCAAGGATGAACCCTACATGATAGAAGCTGGATCAGGTTCGTTATATTTCGAGGGCGCACTGACAGTCACCTTGAAACGAAATTAGAGGACGCAATACACATGCATCTCTTTCAAGTTCGAAAGAATGGTACGATTGTGCACGTTTCACACAGAGATTTGGAGGCATCCAGATTGAACGCGACTTTACTCAGACATTAATTTACTTTGAAGGAGCTGCCACAACAAAGTGAAGTGTGCTCGAACCGAATTGTTGAATTTCTTCTTGTCAACTGCATTGCGTGAAGGTCCATCAGTGACTACCGCATGGACAGTGCATATCCCACACATGGTCAAGTTGCCCGTTAGATGCAGTAGCAGTTTTCTTCTTCTCCGAGTCCAATGTAGCTGTTCCCGATCATGGCAGCAGCTCGATATGCATCTCTTCCCTGAAGTTGATGTCGGTGCTCGATGCACGACATGTTCAATAGTCAGGCTAGTTGAATGCCATATTTCTCGTAGAAATGTACAAATTGATCGCCCACATGCCCTGACATCATGCTGTGCAAATAGAAAGACTGCAGCAGTCTCGCTTGTCCGATTAATCTGACTAACTTGAAAGCAACACCCCTAATTTTGAAAGGAAGTGCTTTGACGTCTTCCTTCTCTTCAATTCCGAAATAGCTTCCTCCCAAAGAAGCTGTTTGTCTCTGTCAGGCACCAGCAGTTGAATGATCGAGGCAGGACGTCTTTCGCCGCCTGCTGCGGGAGCAGCAGGCGGCGAAAGACAGCAGGCGGCGAAAGGCCGTCTCTTGCAGACCCTCCCGGTATCTGCAGGCATCGATGACAACAAGGAAACAGACTGAGAGTCACAGTGTAGTCCTCTACCTCCTCCTCGGTCTCCATCGTCCCTACCTCACAGGGGATCAGGTCGTCTTCTTTGGCCCTTCCTGCCTTCATCCCATGGCCAGCGTAGAACTGAGAGGACGACTAGCCTCCTCAGCTCTTGGTGCCAGCCTAGTCGCATCCCTGATAGCGTTCTCCAGCTCCCACCCCGGCTGCACGTACTTGTCCGCTCTAGTATGCAGAGGCCAAACACCCGGGGCGGCTCCAGGAACAGAATCTCCTGATGGAGAGGAGACTGCCAGGAAGCCCGTTCCTCTAGCCGGCGCACAGTGACGGGATGCTGTTGAGGAAGAAACGTCATGCGACATAAATGACTGGTGGATGCGCATAACAGTGAGCATTCATAACAGTGAGCATTGAGGGATTTCTCTGTGGATTCAAATATCCTCTGTGAGGAGATAAAAAGGGGGTAGGGTGGTGGAGGGGGGAACTTCTGTACCATGAAACCTCTCTTTTGTACCAATATGTTTTCATACAGTACAATCTATACTACCATGTATGTGATGGGTAAAACTAAAATTGCAGTACCTCTAAAACCAAGGCGGGGGAAGGGTTCCACGCCAGAGGAATTCAAATCACCCCACCCCGCTTATGTCCAGTCTCTCTACCCCCCCCCCCCCCCCCACCCCCCCCCCCCTTTGATCGGTGAAAAC